GTTTATATTTGAACTCTTCCCTATTATGTTATTCTTATACGTTTTTCTTAAGTCCACATTTGTGTGACCATTTTCAATAATCTTTCTGCTGCTGTAAAGTTGCCCATTGTGGGACAATAAAGAGAATTTCTATTCTATAAAAGGGGTAGAAATATAGAATTAAATCTAAACAATGTATGTATAAAGAATATATCTGCAAAATCTCTAATATTCAACAACAAAAAATACTTAGTTAAGCATATGGTGCAAAACAGCAATAAAAAGATAAAACTCCCATCAGATTTATAGTCCCCACCCTGCAGATATATTAGAATCTGTCCTTAAATTACAGCCAAACCCATTTACACAGTAACAGATAAAAACCTTTAGATAAACCAAACATTACCGCCTCATATCTGACTCAATAACCATTAAAACAACTATTTTCATTCATTTCAGACAAAACTATTCAGAGACTTGTATTATATTAAACTGAACTTCCAATTTTCACCACTGTTCGACGCCAAGTAACCTTTCCTATGATCACGGAGCAGCAGGCTTGCTTGGTCTCGCAATGAATCCTGGGTAAACCAAGGATACCGAGGATACATCAGACCCGTCCTTCAAATCGGGCAAAAAGAAGGACGCATTTTAAGGCCGCATAACGAGGAGTCTTTTTATTGAAAGAATTGTACAAACCACAAGGCAGCAAATCAGAAGGTGTTCCAATACAAAACAGAAGTGAGAGGCATAGATGCAGAACAGACAACAAAAAGACAAAAAAAAAAAAGGAATACATTGAAAGCATTGAAATTAAGGCAGTTACGAATTACAAGACTGCTAAATTATGTTCTACAATAATGTTAAGTTTTTTAGCAATAGGAGTCACCATTATTTTAAGGGCTTTTACATAAAGTAGAAACTCATTGAAAAAAAGCACAAAATTTAGGAGGCATTTTCTTACACTTGGACTTATGTATGTATGACTTTCCAAGAATTATGATAGTATTTATCAGAAGGGATGTTTTTTTACAGTCCAAGATTAGACCAAAAATAATGTCTTTCTGACAAAAAAACTCCAGCTGAGGAAAACTAGGTTGTAACCATATGAAAACATTTTGCCAAAAAACATCAGAGAAATTACAGAGAAAAAATACATGGTCAGTAGATTCAATATCAGTATTGCAGAAAGAACAACAATTGGTTTCAAACCCAAAATGCTGGTGTAAAAAGTCATTGGAGGGATATATATTATTGAACGTACGATAATGAATTTTTTTCGCTTTGGGGGGAATAGGAAGTTTCAAAAACTGTGTTCTCAAACAAGGCACACTATCTTTAGGAAAGAATTCTAAAATAGAATTCTTGTAAGATTGAAATGGAAATAAGATACGAGTGAATAAGTAACGAATAGTTTTATTTTGAATTGGAATCTCTCTGAAATCACAATCACCTATTAGGATTAGAGGAAGTTGAGGAAGGATAAGGTTAGTGGATGTTGTTAAAACACTTCTAATCTAGATCAAAATAGAGTGTGGAATAGCTTTGGTAATAAGCTTAAATGTTTTTAGATTAGTAAAATTACCATATTTAGTACAGAAGTCACTATAAGCTAACAGATGGCCACTATTATCTACAAGGTGAACTGGAGACCAAATACCTTTATCTAACCAATCCTTATAAAATACAGACTTGTTTCTAAAAGTAACATATCTATTATTCTAAATCGGGGTATTGTGAGGAGTAAAATTATGATTGTATAGAAGTTTCCAATATAAAAGGACTTGTTGGTGGAAGAGAGATAATTTGATGGGCAATTTTTGAATTAAGTAATCACATTTAAGTAAGAAATCAATGCCTCCCAGCATCTTAAAGATTTATCTGGGGATATGAAACCAGATGTTATTTGTGTTTAAAAGTGATTTTAACCAGTTAATTTTCAAAGTTCCATTCATGAACTCAAAATCAATGGCTTCTAACCCCCCATCTTCATATTTCTTAGTCAATAAAGTCTTTCCTCCAAATGTAGTTGAAATTAATTTGATTTATTCTTTTAATAGTTCTATTGGAAATTGCTAAAGAATATGCTGGGAAGATACATCTTGAAATACTTTCCATCTTAGTCAAAAAGACTCTACCTAGTAAACTAACATCACGCAGCAGCCACAAGTTGAGCTTAGATTGGCAATTATCTACTACTTTCTAAATATTTTCATTTTCTCTGTCAACATAGTTTCTGGTTGTAGTGATACCTAAATATTTCTAAGTAAATTTTATGGGTATGCTATAAGCTTCTGTTAGGTGAGGTTGTGTTTGATGAATAGGCATCAACTCACATTTATTTAAATTGAGCTTCAACCCTGAAGCTTTAGAAAATATGTGAGTTTTTTCCAGTATCTTTGGGACTTCTGACAACTGCTTCATAAAGATGGTAGTATCGTCAGCTAGCTGGCTAATAAGTAAAGGCATACCAAGAGCATCTAAAGGAGCAATATTAGAATGTTTTATAAAAATTGAAAGCATTTCCACAGCAATTAAAAAAGAAACGGGGAGATGGGGCAACCTTGTTTCACTCCGCGTTCTATAGTAAAACGAGGCGAGGTACCGCCTGGTAAGGAGACAGAACTATTTTGTGTCCTTATAAAGAGATTCATTAATATGTTGAAAATTATGGACCAAAGCCTAAAAATTTTAACCAGTTAAAGATAAACGGATGTTCAATGGAATCAAAAGCTTTATAGAAGTCGAGAAACAAAATAAAGCCATCATCTTTTATCAAATAGTTATAATCTAGGAGATCAAGTACTAAGCGAATATTATTGTGAATGGATCTTTTCTGGATAAAACCAGATCGGGATTCACTAATAATTTTATGCAAATTTGATTTTAGCCTGTTGGCATAAATTAGGGTAAGAATTTTGTAGTCAGTGTTTGCATAAGGAGGACTCTTGGAATCCGACCAGACCTCGGCGCCGCGCTATGACCTTATCGGCCTTTGAATCTGGCCTTCTAAGGACGCGTCCAATAAAACACCAGCAATGTTGGATACTGCACAGTGTAATATTTTCTCAATGGAGACGAATGTTCGTGTATTCATGTAAACTGTGCAATTGTTGAATAAAAAAAAAAAAAAAAAGGACGCGTCCAAGGATTTCTAACAGAGCATGCGGTCTGTCCCTCTGCTTGGTTTTTCAGTGTCACAGCTGAAGGTGAACTCAAACCTTTAAGAAAAAGTTACATTTTGGTTGAAAAAGCTTGCCTTATTTTTTAATTGGGTCCTAACAAAGTAGAAAAGATACCAACCCAATTTATTTTACTACCTGAAAAATAAATAAATAAAATATTCTATATCTATATATGTCTATAACAACTTTGAATTAGGAAGCCTTTAGCATATTTTGACAATGCGCTTCCATTGGTTGATTAGCTGTCAGTAGGTGTGGCTGGAGCTGAAACATCCTAAGCTGATTACTGTTGGATTTAATCAGCATTGATCCATGTTGCAGAAATTGGTTATAATCTTTCTAATCAACTGTGGCATGAAAATTCCTTGATGAACATAAATCAGGAGATACAATTAAACATAAGAGTAAAATTTCCATATAAGCTTAAGTGGATCAGTTCTGGAAAGTCAGATTGACATATAACTAAAAAAACCTAACAGTCCCAAATACAATTTTACAGAACTAAAAAGTATATTGAACTGTTAATACATGTGGCCTTTTTAACAAAAAACAAAAAAATATATATTTTCAAATCAAACTTAATTAGATTTGATTGGATTTTTCTTTTTAACTTAATAGTCTGAGTTAAAAAAAATCCCTCAAATAATTTCAGTTCAGCTATTTTATTAAGTTTTAGTGTGACCCAAAGATGTGAAAACGTTTATTTTTGGTAGGTGAGGCATAAAATGAGTCTAGTTTCAATATATTAGATGGTTCCAAAAGTGTGCAATGAGCCCCTCACTCAGCCACCATGACAGGATCAGGATGGAAACCCAAAAAAAAGAGGCAGTCTTGGTTCTCAACAGCATGGATGAGCGGCCATTTCAGCTCCAAGATGCAAACACTGCTACAAAATAACATTCACGTAAAGGTGGGAAAAACATACTTATACATTAAAATTACCTTTCATTTTGAAAGCTATGAAAATAATAATTTCTCTTCTATTTTGAAACAAAATTTGAGAAGTATTTTAGAAAAATAAGGGTAAATAAGTTTTCCCTTTTCATAGGATAAGATAAGTTTATTGATCTAACAGTGGAACAATTAACATCGGCTCCATAGGCAAAAGAAGAAAAAAAACCCCCGCTAAAACCACTATTATTACCATTTGTCTTTATCATTGCAAACATTTATTTTTGGTTTATAAAGGTAAAATATGCTTTTCTCAGCTCTGTATTTGAATTTATATTTGATACTAATTTAGGCAGACATTTTGATATTTCCTAATTGACAGAAAGCCGTAAAAATATCTTTATTATTAAGATGACTACATCATTCTAACATTTATTATGAACATAACACATCATATATGAGTATTTTTGACTCCGCCTTAACGGGGGAAAGAGAATCAAACTATGGTAAAAACAATTTAATTCTTTTGGCCAAATTTTTCACACATAAATGTCGATTTCAAAAAATTACCCAGTCGTTCAATATTTTTATAAGTGAGATATTTTTATTAAAAGAAGTACTAACCCATTCTAAAAACCCTAGAGCCCAATCAATGATGCAATATATTGAGAATTTACTTTAAATACAAGAGTCCTTTTGTGTTTTGTTTTTCTTCTTTTCTTTTTAATTACTTTGTTCTACAATCTGATAGTTTTTTTTTTCTAATTGTATATAGGTTCTCTGTATGATTCTATTTGTTATATTATACATACTCTGCTCAGCTTCTTAAGATAATTTACAATTTTGTATAATTGTTTTAATATGACTTGTAATATTTTGATTCTTCAATAAAAAAATAATAATAAAAAACAAATTGACTCCGCCTTTTCGGGTCACGTGAGTAGAGGGTTGTTCGGGGTGGGGTTATCGAGCGCTCCTTCTCCAGCAGCTGCAGCAGCTAGCTAGCTTCTGCTCCTCTATCGGGTTTGTTTATGGTTCTGTTCGATTCGGTGTCGGTGTCAGTAGGTTCTGGAAATATCAGACACTGTTCTAGCTGAATATATGAGGACTGGCAGTTAGATAGGAGGCTCGGTTCTGTTAACTGTGTAGTATTAGCCGGGGCAGCTAATCTAACGGTGTAATTGATCGAAGTTCTGCCGAACCGAACCCAGCCTGCTGGATGGACGAAGCGCTCCGGTGCTGAACGAACCGGACTAAAGGATGAGCTAACTTGTTAAAAACGAGTCCGAACAGCAGAACGAGTCCCTGCCTTCCCATGATCACCATGGAGCCCAGCCTCCAACCGAACCTGGAGCCCAGCCTCCAGCCGAACCTCCAGGAGGGCTCCTACAAAAGTGAGTACGTGCTGAACTGTGACCCAGTTGTGCTGAGCCGCTGATTTCCCTGTGACCTCTAACCTGCAGTGACGGAGGAGGACGTGAAGAGGCTGATCCAGTTCCGGGCCTCAAACGAGGTTCTGTTCACTGGGAAGAGGAACTCTGCTAAGATCGCCTGGAGGTGAGAAGCAGCCTCAGGGTTAGACCATGTTGGACCGGCTGAAGCTCCCAGGCTGGTTGGTTCTGGTTGGGTCAGAGTTCTGAGGTGTGTTTGGGTTGAAGAAGTTGACCTGATCCAGTTTCATTTGGTCCAGACTCTCCGAGGAAACATCTCAGCTGGCTTTGGTTCTGTGTTCCAGTTTAAGGTTTGGAAGGTTCCGGTCTTTGGTTCGGGTAAGGCAGGTTAAGTGTTCTGGGTTTCATGGACACTGAATGATGGACTGACCTGGACTCATCTGGACTTTATTGAACCTGATCAGCTGGTTCTGCTGTTTTTAACCTGAAGAACTGCAAACATACATCTGATGTTTGAGTATTAGGGCCAGGCTAGAGATTTATTTTATTTTCTATTCTGAGAATAAAGTTGTAACTTTACGAGAATGAAGTCGTAACATTACGAAATGGAAGTCATCATACAACGACATGTTTCAGAAATAAAGCTTGGAGCTCTGACCAGCATATAACGGCCGACCAGCTCCACCAATCAGCAACCTGAGTTCACTTTGACCTGCTGCTCAATTTGATGCTGCTGCTAAAACATTTCCTCATTTGTCAAACCAGAGCCAAAGCATAACTTCACATGATGCTCAACATTCCTCATTTTAGGGAAGAAAGTGCTTCTTGTAGGAGTTGTAATTAAATACAACTTGTTTGTCGTAATTTTAAGACATTGTTCTTAGAATTTTGTGACTATTCCCGTTGTGACTTCTTTCTCGTAATATCACAAATTTATTCTCATAATATTACGACTTTATTGTCGTTATATCACAACTTTTTTCTCGTAATTTTACGACTTTATTCTCATCTTACGACTTTATTCTTGTAATGTTACGACTTTATTCTCGTAATCTTACAACTTTATTCTCATAATGTTACGACTTTATTCTCGTAATCTTACAACTTTATTCTCGTAATGTTACGACTTTATTCTCGTAATGTTATGACTTTATTCTCGTAATCTTACGACTTTATTCTCGTAATCTTACGACTTTATTCTCGTAATGTTACGACTTTATTCTCGTAATCTTACGACTTTATTCTCGTAATGTTACGACTTTATTCTCGTAATCTTACGACTTTATTCTCGTAATGTTACGACTTTATTCTCGTAATCTTACAACTTTATTCTCGTAATCTTACAACTTTATTCTCGTAATGTTACAACTTTATTCTCGTAATGTTACGACTTTATTCTCGTAATGTTACGACTTTATTCTCGTAATGTTACGACTTTATTCTCGTAATCTTACGACTTTATTCTCGTAATGTTACGACTTTATTCACGTAATTTTGTGAATATTCTCGTTGGGACTTTATTCTCGTAATTTTACGACTTTATTCTCGAAATAGAAGAAAGAGAAAAATCTCTAGCGATGCCCTAATACTCCGTCACTCTTTTTGAACCTGGAGGAGCAGGAAGTAAAGCTTCCTGGAAGTCCAGGAAGCTCCTTCATCTCCATTAACATTGCTTCTCACTTCCTGCTGTCTTCCCTTCCTGTGACCCAGATGGTCCGACACAAAGTGATGATAACGATTTGTTATCATCGGTGCCGATGTTGATCCATCTTAAACGCATATCTGTTCATGAATGAAACCGGGCCGATATAAACAACAATGTGTGATTTAGGAAGAAGCATTTAGTTTTTTTGTTGATCATCGGTCGGTTTTGATGCTGAAGCAGGATTATGAAGGCTTGACTCCTGGATGTCTGCATTTATACATAATGATATAAAATAATTTAGTGTGTTTTGTCTTTAATTGGAAGCAAAAATGTAGCAAATTTGCAACAGCAGCTATAACAGTAAACGTATACTTAAAAGTCACACAGTAATAACACTGTAATACGCAGATTTTATCTGGAGGAAATAAGAACACGTCACATCTTTGACCTTCTAACAGCAAATAACATTTACCTTGGTGCAGATTGAATGGAATAGAAAATAAAAAAAAATCGGACCTTAGAAAAATGTACAAGAACAACATGAAGAGTTAAAAGATAAACAATAAAATACTGTACTGTAAAGTGCTTTAAAAATATAAAAACTGTGCACCAGGGGAATAAATAAAGAGCTATGGACATTTTTACAGTAAAGCAGGGATTTGCAAACCAGGTATAATGATGTACAGAGAGCTCAGTAAGAAAACTGACATTTACATCAGTTTTAATTTAATTCATAAAGATAATTGAAATAAACAATGCAAAACAACCGGTCTTTACTGAAGAAAAATCCTTCTTGAAGGCTGTTTTTTTTTATCTCTTTAGGACTTAGCATTAGCAAAACGGCCTCAATGAAGTTATTTTACATCCGATCATCTCAAAACATTGGATTTAGACAGAATTAAATAAGCAAGTGGGTGTTTTTATCTTAGCACCACTTTCTTTTTATAAAAAAAATAGCTAATTATTTTCTTACTGGTTTCACTTTTTTAGAGGCTCTTGTGTGAGTTAAAAATATGTCCGTCAGAGACCAGTCCTACTAGAAACAAGTGTTATCCGAAGGTTCCTTCGGTTGCACCGAATCAGTAAAAAACAGAATTGGGTGGAATGAACTGTGCATCCTAGCTGTTGACGCTCTGTGGTTTTCAAAAAAAATCTATGTTTTTTTGATTGTGTCCAAAGGGTAGGGAAGTATAGTAAATATAATTTATCAGCTAATGATGTTTGATATGGATATCAGCCCAAGTTTCATATCATTGCATTTCTCAGTGGTCCAGGATCCTATTGGATTCATGAGGAATCAGAGGGAATAACACTAACGGATGGTTTGCAGCTAAAGATTGACAGATTTTGGATAAAAATCACTTTCTTTTAAAAAAAAAAACTCTGCCACACATCAGATTCAATCCGTAATTTTAGGTTTATTCATGGGCATTCCAAAAAAAAGGAAATAAAAAAAACAATCCACTGGACTTTTTATCCAAGTTTGAAGATGTTTTGCTTCCCATCCAGGAAGCTTTCTCAATTCAAAATGTCAGGAATAGTGATGAGTTCGAGGTTTTATACAGCAGCCCAACAAAGCCTTGTTTTTATTTTGAAAACATGCAAATTGAAACAGATGAAACAGGCTCCACCCCTTTGGGAGGGAAGTCGTTTGGCTTCGTTTGTTAGCCCGCAATGCCGTTTCCTTTTTTTTTGGAATGACTATGACCTGGATGGCTGAGACTCTTCAACAGTTTATTCATGGGATTGTGGTCGTCGATGAAACTGGAAACCTTGAGTTTAATGATGGATATAAACTGATTACATATGAGTAAAAAACACAGAATCCAGAGTTCTTATTTTAAACCCTCCTGTTGAACATTTGCTCATTGGCTGCCTGGTCGCCTCCATCTGATGCTGCTTCCTGTTTCTATCCTCCCTCACATGCCGAGGCCCTAAACTCCACAATCTGGTGTCGTTTCTGTCGTTCCTCAGCACCATCCTGAAGGGTCTGGGTCTGGAAGGGAAGCTGACGGCCGACCAGATAGCCAAAAAATGGGACAACCTGCGGACCAAATACAAGGTGGGTGGAAACAGAATGATGGCGCCCAGAAGTTCAAAACCTTTCAAATTCCTGGACATTAAAAGTCGGGGATTCCCGCTGAGTCAATGAAGGTTTTCCCACAACATTGTGTCTCCAACCAGAGAGGTTTTACCTCCTTTGTCATCTAGTCCAAGGAATAAACTACAAACTCAGACTTTTAGCACAAAGAGAAGAAAAACTTAAAGGTGAAGTTGAATGGTGACAAACTGGTGTCTGACCAGTCACCGTTTTAAATCGACTAAAGCCCAGAACACAACAAATCCCATCAAAATCTATTAACTCTGATTGTGGTGGGGCCTACTAAACATTAGCCAATCCACTTTGCCTAATGTTGAGAGTGGATTGGCTACAAACATTCTGCGTACATGCCGCAATGATGTTATTTATGTGGGCTCCAAATGTAACTCATACGCTTCTTGGCTAGCAGTGGGAGTGCAGGTGGTTCAGTTATTAGCGCACGACCCATGTACCATCGTACAGGTTCGAATCCAGCCTGTGGTCCTTTGCCGCATGTCTCTCCTCCTCTCTCATACTCTCTTTCCTTTTAGCCTACTGTCCAAGAAACGAGCCACTAGTGGCGTAAAAAAAAAAAAGAAAAAAAAAAAAGCAATTTGTTCACTCTTGTGTAAACTGGAGCATCAATGGCAGAAAAAGGACCTGACAAACCTAACTAGAAAAAAAGGCCTCTTTTGAAGCTAGGGTAAGTAGCAAGACGGTTAGCATTAGCTATAAGAATTTAACTTTTCTGATGGTAAAAAACATTTTCTCCTCATGGAATGTTTTTATTACAAATATGCTTGATTGCTTTTTATCGGTAGACCCTTATGGACAAATGGAATATAAATCTCCTTCACGCCGTTTGGAGAATGACCAGCGGGGTTCAGGCAGCTGTGCCACCAGGTTTTGGTCCGTCTGAACCGGGTCTGCAGAGGTTCTTTTTTTAGATGTTGAAATCGGTCGGAGTTTCTTCCTGAACCAGTTTGATGTTCAGCGTTCTGGATCAGTCTGGAGGATTAGTGGAGATTTCCAGACGTTGTTTTCTCTGCCTCTGTCTGATGGGGAGGGGAAGCTGCGTCACCACTTCCTGCCTTTCTTTCTTCCTCGTGTCCTGTGATCTTCTCTCCTTTCCTTTATCACTCATGTCCTTTAGGTTCTTGCTCCCCCCCTCCCTCCTTGTGACCTTCCTTTGTTTCCTTCTCTCCTTTTGGTTCGTTCTACCTCCAGCCCTGCTCTACTTCCTCATTTCCTGTCTTTCTTCCATCTTTTCTCCTGTAATTTCCTGCTTCTTTTTTCTGCCTTATCTCAGTTCTGTCCTTCCTGTCTTTCCTTCCTCATGTCAGCTCTTCCTGAAACATGTGCTGGTGAGTCCAGGTTTTGGCCGGAGTAGAAAACATCCCTCCCCTCTCAGGAACACTGAAATGGCTCATCTATAAAAGTGGAATATTTCCCGCCGCTTGTTTCAGAAGCTAAACGGGTTATTTTATAGATCTGTTTCATTTAGAGTGAAATATTGATCCATTGATTAGGTGAACAAAACCCAAAATCAGGGTCTCTGGAAATGTTTTCTTCTGAGGAGTTTGATGGCCAATAAATCCTGTTGATCCAGTCCAGCCTGTGGTTCTGATGAGGTCCAATTAAAGCCCAGGCTGCTCTAATCACAGCCTCTTTAATGTTGGTTCTGGTGTCTCTCATTTTCCTCTTGAGCTGATTTTGCTGATCATTCCTGAAAAAGAATGAGGGTCATTGGACCAGCCTTTGGTTTAAATCCTACCAACAATAAAACCAACATCTGAAGGTTTCTAGAATGTTCTAGTAGACTGCTGCAATGACTGAGGATTCCAGAAAACCCAGACGACCAGAACCGGCAGATCTCACGGCACAAAACCATCTTTAACCCTTTATTGCTCCAAGCAGGGTCGATCTCCAGATGAAACCCACACTTTACTTTCATCTGAAAACAGAACCGGACTGTCCTCAGTGGTCCGGTTCTTCCTGCTTTTGGCTAGGAATATTTCATATGGCGTACATCTTGGTTTATCACATCTTTAAAGCTGAAATATACTAAAAAAACATTTTCCTCTGTCAATATGCTCTATCCAGAACTCCTCAAGGTGAAGAGTTTTAGTTTCACTGGTTCGATTTCGTAAAAATTGAACCAGTGAACCATTGCTATTTGATTATTAATCGATTCAACAACAAAAAAATGGATAATCGATTTGCAAAATAATCGTAATTTGCAGCCCTAGATGATTATTCAAGATTAATAGGTGTCTTACACAGAAATATACGGTGGAATAAAATGGTAGGTTTACCTGATGCACACAGAGAGATGTGAGTGGCTGGGTTTAATACCATATATAAAAAGTGTAATTTCAGTAAATAAAAGTAGATAATAAAATAAAAGTTAAAGGTTTGGACATTTTAAGTTAATTTAGGCGTTAATAAACAGTTTCAGTGGAGTGATGACAGCACCCTTCATCAGCAGCTCTGTGTCCGTCTCCCTGCCAGCTCCTAGATCAGCTTCTCTGATTGGTTGATAAGGTATGCCAAGCAACAAAATATTCTATTTTAATCTATTTTTCCAAATCCAGCATCTGCTGCTTGTGAAATTTTGAATATTTGAGGAAAGTTTCTCGGGAAAACATTCCAAAAACAGGGCGTACTATTTGTCATTTCTTTAGTAAGCTAGCATTTTTAGCTAAAAGGCTGCAGTTCTTTCCTCCTCAGGCCCAGTGACACGGTTCTGACGTTGCTGGAGGAATACTCATCAGTAGCCCAGGCCTGGTGCTCAGCCCATGAACTGTCGCTCCTTTTTCCACCACATTTCTTCCTTCCAATCAGTTTTCTGTGAACATCCAGCCTCTTCATTCCTGCCCCAGTCTGCTCGCTCCTGCAATCTAGAAACTAGATGTAACTAAACATCAGATGTTAATATCGTCCCAGTTTTACTTATCGAACCAATATGATTAAAATAATCAAATTAATGTTAATGCTGATCGATGGTTTGTCACCATTAATGAAGGTGTCATCTACTTATTTCATGGGACAGGATATATTGTGGCTCTGTATATATGACAGGATTACATCACAATGATTGTGAAAACCATCTCCTGACCCCTGCTTTAGATAAATAGGCAGCTTTGCACTAGAAACTTAATGTATTGCTTTTTCCAGTAGGTGAATAGACGGCTCCCATCTGGGCTTCATGTTTCTATGAATCCAAAGGAAGAAACACCTTTCAGTCATCAGTTTATTAGCTGTTCGTGTCGTCGTCACTAAGCTATGCGGTAAAATTACATATTTATTGTTGATCTAATGTCTTTCAAGGTTTCACTCGCAGATCAGTCTGGAGACTCTCCGTTAAAGAAAATTTGGAGCCGTTCACCAAACGAACGCCCAATCAGCGTTGGCTTTGAGGCGGGTTGAGGTGTGACGCAACGAGAAGCGCGACAGTTCAGTCTAAAGAACATGGCGGCTTCAGCCAATGAAACTAGCGTTAGCGTGGCTATCGAGCAAGTTTTATCAGAATTACAGCGTATTTCTTCACTGAAAGAAGAGCAAAACACTGCTCTGGAGGCTTTTCTCAGAGGAAAAGATGTTTTTGCTCTTCTCCCGACTGGTTTCAGCAAGAGTTTGATCTATTAATTGGCTCCTCTTCGTCGTCGCTCTGTTAGTACGTCATATGCTTCGTTGATCTGATTGGTTTATTTGGCCCGTCTATCACCAACATAGGCCAATCAGCTAACCAGTATTTTTGCCCCTTCCCAAAATTACTTCAACGGAAGGTTTCCAGATGGATATGCGGAGCAAATCCACCTGGCGGAGTCAGGTTAATGTCTTGCAGCCCTTTATGGAAGAATGTAAACCGAATATTAATGCAGAGACCTCCCACTTCTAACCAGACCTCTGGATTATTTAATCCAGCCTGCAGTAAATATTTCTACCCGGAGCCTGTTGGAGTCACCGTGTTCCTCTTTCAGGACCTGAAGCAGCCCTACCAGGGCCAGGAGCAGCTGGGGGCCGTGGTGGAGTCCTGGCCCTGGTTCCACATCATGGATGAAGCCATGCAGGGCCGCCTGTTTAACAGCAGCCTGGTTCTGTGTCCGGACAGTCCCGGCAGCGCAGCCCAACACCCCGACTGTCAGCCCTGTCAGAACCAGGAGAACACGGACATCCTGGAGTTCCTCATCAAGACGGAGATGGATGAGACGGTGGCAGGAGAGCCGGAGGGGGAAGACGAGCCGGTGAACGAGCCCCCGCCCTGCGGAGGCATCCCCATGGGATGGAGGAGGATTACGGAGTGCACGTACAAAAGTAGGTGGTCCTACCTGAAACCAGAGGGTGCTTCCTGATCTTCCCTCTGTGTGTGTCCCTGCTGGCCTGAAATGACCCCTGTTGTGTTCCACAGTGAGCGAGGCAGAGACGGAGCAGATGATCAAACTGCGGGCTGCGAACGAAGGCCTGTTCACAGGCAGGAAGCACTCGGCCAAACCAGCCTGGAGGTGAGGCTCCCTTCAGAAACCATCGGAGGAGACTCTGAACCATTTCAGCAGCTCTTCACAGTTTAAACTCATCTGAGTTCAGCAGAAGTTCAAGGAGATCAGAGGAAGTTTTTATTCTTTGGGTAAATCAGAAGGACTTCACCTGAATGCTTGAATATATCAGAGATCAGGCTTGATCTGCAGATACTGAGATCTTTTTTTCAAAAGAAGCAATAAATCAAGCAACTTTTCCTGCATTGTTAGAGAATCAAATTTAAATAGTTTATTTGGCCACTCCCCCCTTTGCCCTTCAGATCAGACAGGTGATCAGTTTGAGCAGCTTGTCATGCAGCAGCAGGCAGCTCCTGCAGTCACTCTCTCTGTTTCTACACTGAAAATGAGTCAAAGAGGCACAAAGCTTCCTCTGATCCTCCTCAAATAACAAGCAGGATGTTACTCTACCTGAGAATCAGAAAATGTTCTGATGAGGGGGGGATGCAGAAATCTATTAGATCTTAAGGGTTGATGAGTTTTGATTGCTTTTATTATTGTAACAGTGGATTACTGATGCTTAAAGGAAAAGTCTGGTCAGCCAGGAATAATCAATGGATCCTTATTTATACCTAAAACTAATATGTTTGCAGCCATTTTTTCCCAAATATAGTAACATCTCACTCCTGACATCTTCCAGTAGTGACGTCACGGTGTGGTGAGCCTAGCGCCATTCTCCCCGCTTTACAAGCAAAATCACTGGGAACTACCAGACACATCTGCAATCAACAACAGTTATTGAAGATTTCAAGAGAACTTCACCATTGAAATTCACCAGAGCTATAGTGAAACTGACAATGCCCGCCTGCATGGCAGTTGGAATACAATGGGTGAAAGTGAAGAAAAAAAAGTTATTTCACCTTTCTGATTCATGATCCACAGATGGGTTCATTAAGTGGCGCAGTGGGTAGCACTACTGCTTTGCAGCAAGAAGGTTCTGGGTTTGATTCCCTGCCCAAGGTCTTTCTGCATGTAGTTTGCCTGTTCTCCCTGTGCATGCGTAGGTACTCTCCGGGTACTCTGGCTTCCTCCCACAGTCCAGGTCAGGTTAATTTGGTTCCTCTAAATTCTCCTTAGGTGTGAGTGTGTGCGTGAATGGTTGTTTGTTCTGTGATGCCCTGTTGCCCTGCGATGGACTGGCAACCTGTCCAGGGTGTTCCCCGCCTCTTGCCCGCACACAGCTGGAGATGGGCACCAGCACCGACCCTCGCTTGGGATAAACTTGACCGAGAATGGATTCGGCCAACATTGGAAAGAAGAATGTTTTTTAAGATGACTTGTATAATAGCGAGTTGTGACAAACACCAGATCAGCATTGGGACTTTCTCACACACCGTGACGTCACAAACCTGTAGGTGGCAGTAGTGTTCTCTGACAAACATGGATGCCTCCTGTACATTCAAATAAAAATTACTCTTAATGAAAAAAACTCATTGTTTATTGAACAGTATGTTATAATTTTATAATTAAAGTAATTATAGAGTGAATTCTGAATATGAGCAGACTTTTCCTTTAAACACGGGTCAGACCTGAGGTCAGGTCTGCTGACCACAGCTCTGTAAAGCAGCAGCTTCTGTTTTTCGCTCTGCAGAGCCATCCTGTATGAGCTGGGCCTGCAGGGGAGACTGACCACAGAACAGCTGGCCAAGAAGTGGGACAACCTGAAGAGGAGGTACAAGGTAGGTCAACGGCCTCTGATGCTGAGGAGTTTAAACCTCACAAAGACCAAACTCCTGATCGGAGGGAAGAGAAGCACCTGCTACCTAAACTTAGCGACACTTGACTTGTTTTCTATATTAAAATGTCTGTACTGGAATCAGGGGAAACATCTTCTTACCTGAACATTAAACTGTTTTATGACCTGGAAAGTTAATGCTCCACAGGTTAATTTATTTTGGTGAAAACATGTCAGTAAATCTCATATAACGGTTTTCTGTTGGTTCATGTAACTGAATATGAACCGTAGTTTTATCGCCTTTTTAAAATGAGGTCCAGGCACAATTTTTATTTTTATTTTTTACAGATCAATACAAAAAGAATATTATCGGAGACAAATGAAAACAACAAGAATAATGATAATAAAGAGATTCTGTACATGAAATTAATATTCTTCACATTTCAGCAAACATGGTACACTTGGTACAATAATATACAGAAATTTAGTGACATAAAATACATAAAAAAACATACAAAGCACCCACACAGTTCAAACAGATTTCCATGTTATTTTTTCCCCCTCTTCTTCCTTCATTATGAACCCTTTAGTTTAAAAATGATTTAAAAATGTCAGTTTTCAGTTATATTGAAGCAGTCATTTTTTTTTTTAATCAAATTAATCTGTTTTAGTCTCTGTTTCCATTCAGTTACAGTTGGAGATTTCACCTTCTTCCCATTAACAGTAATGTTTTTTTTTTTGCAATGAGTAGTAATACTCGTAGGATATATCTTTGGTCAGCATTGAACAAATCAACAGATAATACACCCAGTAAGTAAAACGCCTCCAGACATATTTCTATAGATAGAAATACACCTGCTGGTTTATTGAAGGTTAAAAGATACGGAAGCGTATTTCATTCACCAAAGAAAAAAAATTACACAGCTGATCTCATCTTTTCTCATAATTACGAGATACGATCTCATATTTACGAGATCAGTATCTTGTTATTATGAGACCTTTTCTCATAATTAAGAGATACGATCCAATTACAGAATACGTTCCCATAATTATGAGATAAGTTGTCTGATTTTTTTTTTTTCTTTACTGAATCAATACGCTTCCGTATAAAAAGATAGTTGACATCATTTTACTTATTGGTGGATTAGCTTCAAACAGGATCAATACTGGGAGCTCGATCTCTACCATCGGCTCATTTGCACCCGATGAACCATAAATGGATCCGGTTCATTAAATGAGCTTTAGGAATCGTTTCGGAAAAGGCTCGATTTGAGCTATGGAAGCCCAAGTGGCTCATTGTTTGAAAGAAATCCTGAATTCTCAAAACAATGTCCTCATAAACAGAAAAATTTATTAATCCATAAAACCGATCAATGAATTGATCTGTGTCAACACATAACCTAAAAGATTACATACTGAAGCTCCGCCTCCATGTAGGCGGGGCTTTAGTGTTGAAGAACAATGAATGATTTTCAGAGTTTGTCTAATTTGGTTGTAATTTCCTGGAAGATTTTTGATTTAATGTTACTTGATGTCACCTGTTAAAAAAACCAAAGTGGAAACCCACAACGAGAACCAACAGCTTTCCCATTTAAGTGACCTTTGACCCAAAAAACAGCGGTAGCTAAAGCCCAATGAATGTTTTCCTGTTTTGGTTTAAGAACAGGTAGATCACTTCCTTTTCCAGAGGTGATTAAATTAGCCTCAGTCTGTCAATTTTTCATGTAGAACAGAACCGTATACAGAACCTCCTCATCGATTTAGGATCCTGGTCCAAATGGAGGGAAACATCTGATTCTTCAGTCCCAGTTCGGATGAAGATGCTTTGCTTTGAGATACTGATTGATTCGTGCAAATGTCTGAAGTGGCTGATTATGGCTACAGGAGGTTTATTAGAGTCTCAGAAAATGATAACCTGCCTTCTTCAGGAGCTGAAGTTTCCGCCCCGCGGTGTGGAAACTAACCCGAGTTCCTGGCCCTGGTTCTACCGGATGAACGACGCCATAGAGGGCCGACTGGCCAACGCCGCGCCCGTCCTCGCTCCCATCGTGGAGGACGGAGACGAGGAGTGTGAGCCTCTGCTGCAGACGCCCAGAAAACGGGCCCGGCGGAGCCGCGGGGGGATGGCAGAGTTCCTGACGGAGTCCGAGATGGATCTGTTGGTGGATAACGAGGAGAAGAACGGGACGTCGGCTGTGGGAGATCTGCACCGGGGCGGCGAGTTCACCTACAAACGTAAGGAAGAGCAGAAACCAGGCGGGGCTTTTTATCAGGTTGTGTTTCTATGGATGGGTTCACTCAGATGACTGTTTCTGTACTGGCCAAACCGGGAATGTCCACAGTAACGGAGGAAGACACCAGACGGCTGATTGAGCTGCGAGCTGCTAACGAGGCTCTGTTCACCGGCAAGAGGAACACGGCCAAACCCGCCTGGAGGTCAGCAGGCTTCCTGTTGAACTTCACAGAGTGGTAGTCCCAGATCCTCCGGTCTAACGTTTTCTATCTGGGTTCTGGTTCTGGTTCTGTTTCAGGGGAATTGTGAGGGCGATGGGTCTGACTGGGAAGATAACACCAGACCAGGTGGCCAAGAAGTGGGACAACCTGAAGACCAAATTCAAGGTTTGTTCTCCGCTCTGATGAAGCATCTTCACATACACTGATATTTATTAAACTGTATCATTGATGAAATATAAAATACAAACAAAAGAGCTCACAAACTGCGTGATTAAAACCTAAATAAGGTCATTAAAACTAATGAAAGGAAATGTTTAAAATATCTTCAATAAAGACAAGTTTTAACATGAATTTAAACAGAAGTTTTGACCTAGTGCTTAGAGCAGTGTGCTTGTGCTCTGAGAAGGTGGCAAGTACCCGGTTCCATCCCCACAGCCTGCACTCTGGGTCCCTGAGCAAGACCCTTAACCCCACACTGCTCCCTTGGCGCCACACAATGGCAGCCCACTGCTTCCCAATGGGATGGGTTAAATGGCAGAGATTTCAGACATTTTGGGACAATAAAGGGATTTACATTTAGCTTATTTGGTTCTATAGCGGCTCCAACAACTCGGTTATATAGGTAGGAGCCTGAATCATGAAAGACCTGAAGGTTAAGTGTCACATTTTCTGAGATTTTATAAATCTATACACCAGGAGCTCAATCTGGTTTCACTAATATTTTCTGAAAGATTACCGTCCTGCTCTTGTATTATCTGTTATTTTTGTGTTTAAGGCTTTGTTTTTACTCAGTTTGTTAGTAAATAAATTGGTATATATAGTAAAAAAAAATATAGATATCATAAATATCAGCTGGTTCTCAATGCGCCAAACTGTCCCTTTATCAACAGTCACTGCAGGGTGTCTGGGCTCCACTAAGTAGTGGCCATGCAGCTCTCTGGTAGTTCTGTGGTACTGCCAGCAGATGGCACCACACCCGTTATGTCTGCTTATTGTATTAGCTTCTATTTAGCCCCATAAAGGATGATCTAATTCTATTAGGATGAAGGTTTGCTGTGGGTAGCCGTATTTAATCAGGATCAAATATATTTTGGTAGTTTTAAAGTCTGGATATTATTGTGGAATCTTAAATGATTTGGCAACAAAGGCAAAGACTTTGTAATTAATTCAGGTGAGCTTCTCTGTTTTTTTTTGTAATGAAAAATTATTTTTGATAAACTTGAGAGCAAAAAAGAGCATTTTTGTTAATTAATTTAAAAAGTGTTGCACTAGAACAGCAAAGGAAATTGAGGCATGAACTTCCATCTCCACTTCCTGTTTTAAAACGAAAGTTACGTATGTAACTACGGTTCTATGAATCCCGGATGACCGCCAGAGGGCGGTGCTGAAAGCACTGAATGTTCCCTTCGGGCATGCGCAGTTCGAGTAATTATACCAACAGAGTCACACCTGTGACACCGGATGACCACTCAGAAGCTATATAGCCTGGTGTCATCCTTTGCTCTGCTCCTACAGAATCTTCTCGCAAAAGCAAGGATTCTGAGTGACAGAGAAGCTCTGGCGGTCATCCGGGATTCATAGAACCGTAGTTACATACGTAACTTTCGTTCTATTTCATCCCTACTGACCGCCAGAGGGCGGTGCTGAAAGCACTGAATGACTAATGCCAACGATGTCACAAGGAATCCTGAGCACATACCTCACAGAGGAGGCCCAGCAGAACCTTGTAAAAGGACCTGACCCAGGGGATGAGGGGCAGCCACATTGACACTGTAGAACCTGGTGAAGGTGGTTGGGGAAGCCCATGAAGCAGCAGCACATATAGCTTCCAGCGGAACCCCTCTCAAAGCAGCCCAGGAAGCGGTGACGCTCCTGGTGGAATGTGCTCTCACACCGACTGGCAGGAAGCAGTGACCTGCAGCGTAGGCGTGGCAGATGACACTCACAATCCAATGGGACAGACGCTGTTTAGAAAGAGGACAGCCTAACCTTGGACCCCCATAGCATAGGAAAAGCTGGTCCGAGCATCTCAGATTGGCGGTGGCTGCAATGTATGCCTCCAACGCTCTTACTGGGCACAACAACTCAGACTCATTCTCAGTTGTACCAGATTGAGGCTGAAACCGAGCCAGCCGCAATGGCTGGTTACGGTGAAAAGGAGACAACACCTTAGGCACAAACGCAGTATTAGGCCACAGGGTAACACCAGAGCCATCTGGATTCCACCTGATACACCTAGGGCTGACAGAGCATGTAGCTCGCTGACCCTCTTAGCTGAGACGATAGCCATCAGGAAAGCAGTCTTGCAGGAAAGCCACTTGAGTTCTGCTTGTGCCAAAGGCTCGAATGGAGGGTGGCACAGAGCTGTGAGAACCAACGGCAGATCCCAATCTGGGGCTCGTGGGGCTGGCTGCTGGCACAACCTACGAGCACCACGCAGAAAAAGTGAAACCAGTTCATGGCGCCCCACTGTACGGTTGTCAACAGTTCGGTGAAGACATGAAATTGCTGCAACATACACTTTAAGGGTCGAAGGAGAGCGGCCCTTATCAAGGAGAGACTGGAGGAACTCCAAAATAGTGGGCACCGAGCAGGAAACTGGGTTCTCATTGTGGGCAGAGCACCACTGAGAAAAGAGGCGCCATCTGTTAGCATACTGCAGCCGAGTGGAGGAAGCCCTAGCACTCAATACGGTGTGTCTCACAGTGTCTGAACACCCAGTCAGCCTCCCAGGGGCCATGCCCACAGCTGGAGACGTTGAGGGTTGGGGTGCCATATCTGTCCCCCCAACTGAGACAGCAGATCCCTCCTTGCTGGAAGACGCCATGGAGTACCGTGACATAGACTCCAAAGCAGCGGGAACCACGGCCGCGCTGGCCAGAACGGAGCTACCAGCAACACTCTGTGGCCCTGCTCGAGAACCCTCCGTAGAGTCGGCCAAATCAGTGACAGGGGTGGAAAGGCATACAGGAGAACCTGCGGCCATGGATGAGCCAGTGCATCCTGGCCCAGTGCGCCCGCCATCCCGGTTAGGGAATACCAGAGGGGGCAATGGGTCGACTCCTCTGTGGCGAACAGATCTACCTCTGCCTGCCCAAAGAGGTTCCAGATTATGCGCACTGCGTCGCGGTGAAGAGACCACTCTCCCGGAGCAGGTGCCTGGCGGGATAGAGAGTCCGCAACCTGGTTCTGCCGTCCTGGCAGATACGCTGCGCGCAGGGTACACAGACGGGGAAACGCCCATTCCAGGAGATCCCTCGACACCTTCAAGAGACGTGCTGACCTGGTGCCACCTTGGTGGTTTATATGATAAACAACAGAGGTGTTGTCTGTCCGAATCAGCACGTGCCTTCCCTCTAGGTGGGGCAGAAGGCACCTGAGGGCCATGTGCACAGCCCGCAGCTCCAGCACATTTATGTGTTCGGTGCGCTCCCTTGGGTCCCAGAGACCCCGAACAGCTCTGTGTTGCCACACGGCACCCCAGCCCATGAGGCTGGCATCCGTGGTGACCACCTCCCTTCGACACACTACTAGCCCCATTGGAACACCACTGGACAAAAGGGTCCCGTCTCGCCAAGGAGCTAGGGCATGGAGGCAGCTCCTGGTCACCATTAGCCTGCGATGCCTGTGCAGCCTGGCGTCTAGGCGAAAGCTGTTGAGCCATCGCTGCAAAGGACGCAGAAGGAGCAGCCCTAAGGGCACGACACGAGTGACTGATGTCAGTTTGCCCAGCATTCGCAGGAAGATGATGTAGGGAAACTCCCTGCCCAGTCTGAATTGACGGACAAGCTGGAGTATGTCGTCCACCCTGTGAACAGATGGACGGGCCATCATGGTAGCAGAGTCCAGATGCATCCCAAGAAAGGTGGTTGTCTGAGATGGAACAAGACAACTCTTTGCCAAGTTGACTTTGAGGCCTAACAGTGACACATGAAGTAGAAGCTGGGACGTATCCCGAGAGGCAGCTACCTGAGAGGGAGCACAAAGAAGCCAATCGTCCAGGTATGGCAGAATCCTGACTCCGGAGGCCTGTAGAGGAGAGAGGGCTGCTTAACACCCTCGGGGAAAGGGAGAGCCCGAATGGGAGCACCCGGAATTGCCAATGGCACCCCCGATAGGCGAACCTGAGAAAACGGCGATGTTCTGCCGCAATAGGCACGTGAAAGTAGGCGTCTGTCAGATCTACTGATGTAAACCAATCTCCCGCCACAATGGTCTGAAGGACCTCTGTTATGGTGAGCATGTGGAAGGGAAGGACCTTCAGGTACCGATTCAGTCCCCTTAGATCTAAAATGGGGCGAAAACCGCCGGTCTTCTTGGCCACAAGGAAGTATGTGGAGTAGTAGCCTCTGGGTTGCCGCAGAGGATCTACAGACTCGATTGCCCCCTTGCCCAGGAGGGCGGAAAGCTCCTGGTCTAGTGCCTGAGATTTCACCGGGTCTGTGATGACAGTCATCTGAAAAAGTCGTCTGAAAAAAGCACTGCCGGAGCTGGATGCCTCTCCTTGTGGGAGTTCCAGCTGCAGCTGCTTCAGGGCCATAGACATGACCTCCCGCATGGAACCGTCACCGGCCTCTCCAACCTTACTCTGAGATGAAAATGAACCAGCCTCAGAGGCTTGAGAGGACCCTGCCTCCTCCTCATCTCTAAAATGAGAAGCGGAAGCAGCCAGAGAGATAACGTCATCCTCTACAACCAGCTCGGGCATTGGTGGGGAAGAGAGCCCAACCACTGGGAGCGAGGGATCAGATTGCCGTGTCTGCAACAAGGACTTCATCTCTGCCAGCTCTGCTGACAACTGCTCCACCCTTGTGGACAGGCCCTGGTCAGGTTTGGCCCGCTTCCTCCGGGGGAGGGGCACAGATGCTGTGGTCCCACCACGGCGCTTAGAACGCTTGGGGGGAACCACCTGCCCTGAGGGCGGAAGGTCCGAGCCCTCCTGGGGGCACAACTGGGCCAACCGGGCCACCCTCACTGCATGGGGCATAAAGCTGCAGTTCATACAGGGGTTCTCAGACAGCGCCTCCAAAAGGTGCTCATGTCCAAGGCAGGTAGGGCACAGGTCGTGGCCATCCTCTGCCTGCAGGGCAGCCCCACAATCCATGCAGCTGTGAGAGCCATCCATGTCGAAGGCCGACAAGGCTTAAAGAACAGAAAGTTATCGAAAATCGGGAGAGGGGGCGCAAACGCAGCCGTCACCAATTACAGCAGAGAAACGAAAGAGGCTGCGAGCACAAGGCAGCCGATATTGGGAGAGGGGGCGAGAACCGCTACCGTCACCAGGTATAAAACCAATAAACCAAAAAAGCTAACAACGTTAGCTGTATGGAAACTTAAGTTGGGAGTAGGAGCGAACAACGCTGCCGTCACCAATTATAGCGGATAAAACAAGAGAGGCTGCGGACACAAGGCGGCCGATACTGGGAGAGGGGGCGAGAACCGCTACCGTCGCCAGGTATAAAAGCAATAAACAAAAAAAGCTAACAACGTTAGCTGTATGGCAACTTAAGTTGGGAGTAGGAGCGATAAACGCTGCCGTCACCAATTAAGAGAGCAGACCAACGAAAAGGCTGCAAAAAAGGTTGATATTGGGAGAGGGGGCGAAAACGCTGCCGTCACCATTTATAACTAAGCAGACCGATGAAGAAGGCTGCAAACAAACCAAAAAAGGCTAACAACTTTAGCCGTCTCCAACTTCGGCTAACGAAGTAGACCACACTTGGTTGGGAGAGGGGGCGAAAAACGCGGCCGTCAGTAATTATAGCAGCGCAGACCGGTGAAAAAAAGGATGCAAAAGTAGGGAATATACTGGGAGAGGGGGCGAAAACCGCTGCCGTCACCAGGTATAACACCAACAAACTAAAGAACCTAACTACGTTAGCTGTATATAACTTCGGCAGTGAAGTTATTCACACTGGGAGTAGGGGCGAAAACGCTGCCGTCACCAGTTCGAAACAAAACAGCACGAAGCTGTAGGTAAAAAGCTAAAGTCGTGAGCCGGGAGAGGGGGCGCGGACGCTACCATCACCAGCAAACAACTCACTTACCTTCCGTAATCCTCAGAATCGACCCGTTGCAGCCCTGGGAGGGCGGAGAATAACCGCAACTCCGGTCAAGAGACAGGGGCTTCAGACAACGGGGAAGTTAGCGAACCGCTTGCGAGAAGAAAAAAGGAGCAGAGCAAAGGATGACACCAGGCTATATAGCTTCTGAGTGGTCATCCGGTGTCACAGGTGTGACTCTGTTGGTATAATTACTCGAACTGCGCATGCCCGAAGGGAACATTCAGTGCTTTCAGCACCGCCCTCTGGCGGTCAGTAGGGATGAAATAGAACCATTGTCCTTAGTTCAGATCTCTGTCAAATTATTATAAAGGTTTTCAGTTAAGTTGCTTTGAATGACCTTCATTTAGTAGAAAACGGCTACATTTCTCAGGTTGGGCTCAGCGGTTGGATGAGACCAAACCAGAATCAAGACACTTTTCTTTTTTTAATATTTCATTGTTTCTGTTTAAACACTAAAGTAATTCAGATGCCTGAAGGAGAAGAACAGCTGAATATCATCTGCAGAAAAACAAACAACAAACAAAGAAGGGGCCCAAGCTACAGCCTTGTCTTACACCTAGTAATTGGTTGGCTGTTCAAATCCCTCAGAAAACATGACTGCATCTTAGTGTAGATATGAACTTCCTGTGTTTTTTATTAATCCCAGACCGTCTGAAAGTCTGTTGGTCTGTAGATCATACATGATCTTGTGAATCAGACTGTCGTGCTCTTTAAACCACTCAGTGTTTGTCTCCGGGTTAAAATCTGTCTCCTCTCTGAAGGACCTGAAGTTTCCTCCTCGGGGGATGGAGGCTCTGTCCAACCCGGCCTCCTGGCCCTGGTTCCAGCTGATGAGCGACGCTCTGGAGGGACGGCTGGCGGATAAAGCTCCCAAAGTGACGCCGGTTTGGTCCAGCGAGGAGGATAACGTCTTCGGGTCGTCCCCACCCCCCGACAGAGACTGTCTGATGGGGGAGCGGAGCGGCGTGTCGGAGCTGGAGAACATGGTGGGCGGAGACAGCGGCGAGGCTGACGGCACCATCACCTACATCGACGCCAGCGGAGAGGAGTGCACCACGCCCTCAGAGCTGTCCTATAAAAGTAAGAGCTGAAGACCCTGCAGAAACATCCGTCCTCCTGGACCTTTAATCCTGGATTCTTTACGCATCACTTCATTCCTCCTCATCTATCCTTTGGTCCCTCATTCCTTCCCTCCTTGTGTCCTTAGGTCCCTACTTGTTCTTCCTACCTGCTGTCTTTCTTTATTCTTATGTCCTTGCTCCTTTTCTTCCTCATGTCTTTTCTTTATTCCCACGTTTCTCTCTTCCTACCTTTCATCCATCCATCCCTTCTTTTTTGCTTTTCCTCAATCAGGTTTTAAAGCCTAGCTAAGTCAAAAAAACTATCATTTGTGGCCTTCTTTTTAATTCTGTATTTATTTTTGAAAATTAGCAAAAGGATATTTTAACTATATCTATATCTATAAATGTCAGACAGAACTCTGGATAAATATCTGAATAATCTTAATCTAAATAGTGATATTCCATGTGTATTTCCATATCTATCTCTACCTAGTGTGAGCTGCCAGAACTGACAAGTGTTGAAATGAACCATTAAACAGCATAGATGATTTTTATTCAGTAAATGAAGACATGTAAAAAATAATCAGCGGTTTCAGTACTAAATCAATTTATTTCTGGGGAAACTGCAGTTTTTCTTGTTCAGTTCTTCTAATATTTTTTTACCCACAATTCAACTGTTTTCATCAAGTTTCACGTGACTAAGGTAAAATGTATTTTAATACAAAGCATATCTTAATATAATTTCTTTTTTTATCTTAAGGACAAAATTATTTCAGCTCATTTTCAAATATTTGTTTGTATCAAATAAATAATTTCATCTTCATATTGTACAGCCCACTTTGCATCAGAAGGAGGCGCTGTTGGTTAGTTTACCCAAATGAATATGAAGCAAAAATCCCTTCTTCACCAAAACGTATGAACTATTGTTTTATAAGCACATTGATAAAAAGTCTCTACATAAATATATTTTTACTCATATTTATGCTAAAGATGACTTTGGCTGCATATCTAGAGAGCAGAAAACCAGGATTTATTGATGATTTTAGAGTTTTCAATCAGAGGTTTCTGCACCAACTGGGTCCATTTTCTCTGGTTCTTGTCAGGCCAGATCTAATTGAAATGAGCTGGTGGTTTGCTCTGCCACAAAAAATATGTAAATAAGCTGCTTATCTTATCTGATCCCGTCCTGAATCCGTCTCACCTGTATGTTCAAGAAGGAGGAAATAAATGGAGCACAATGACTCACAGGGAAAACCGATGGACCTCAGATAAGGTCAGCAGTGTGTCAGTTACAGAAGCAGGTGCTTCTGCTGTGTTTTCTAGTGAGTGATCAGGACACCAGGAGGATGATCAAACTACGGGCTTCAAACGAGATGCTCTTCACCGGGAGAAGGAACGCTGCCAAGGCTGCATGGAGGTGAGCAGGAGGACTTCTGGACGAGCTCTCTGTTCATGATGATGATCCTAATGATGATGTTGTGTCCCGGTTCCTCAGAGCCATCCTGAAGGAGCTCGGCCTGCAGGGAAAAGTCTCCACCTACCAGATGGCCAAGAAGTGGGACAATCTGAAGCGGAAGTATAAGGTGAGCCGTTTCTGTCCTCCTTTCAGTGTTTCCATGACTCCTGATTCCAGATGGAATGCCGAATCCCTGAATTCCCACCTTCTCCTCAGGACCTAAAGTACCCGCCTGCTGGGATGGAGAACCTGGCAGACGGCGCCTCCTCCTGGCCGTGGTTCCATCTGATGAACGACGCCATAGAGGGCCGGCTAGCGGGGAGCGCCCCCCTCCTCGAACCCGTTACTGAGGATGACGACCTGCACCCTGAGCCCGCCCCCAGACACAGGCCCCGCCTCCCTCCTCCCCAGCAGCCCTCCTCCTCCACGGATTTTCAGGAGCCATGCGGGACGCTGGGAGGACTGGAGCAGGAGTGGGAGGTGTTAGAGCGGGAGCGGGGGGCGCTGGAGAGAGAGCGGGAGCTGGTGGATCAGGACCGGGCTGCGGTGGAGAGGGAGCGGGCGGCGATGCAGGCAGATCGGCTGTGGTTGGACCGGGAGCGGACGGCTGTGGAGCAGGAACGGGCCCTGCTGGAGCAGGAGCGGGCGGCACTGGGCCGGGAGAGGGAGGTTCTAGACCAGAGGGCCCTGATGATGAACTCGGTGGGACATTCAGGTCACCTGAGCAGCCTGATGTAGGCTGGACGACATCAGGACGTGGACCGTCCTTGAGAGACCAGATGAAGACCTGCTGAGGTTCTCTGGATCCAGAGGCTGGGAGCAAAGGCTGGTCCTGGCTCGGGTTCAGATCCTGGCTCTGCAGATCCAACCCCGTGCTCCCATAGAACGTTGCATCTCTGAATGTTTGAGTCGAAACGACTCAAAACAAAACATTTTATATTAAAAAAAACATTGACCTGCTGTAGTCAGAGGAACAACGCCCTCTTCAGGTAAACTCTGGAACTGAGTCTGTAACATCTGGAGCAGCTGCTGGAGTCCATCACTGGTTTAAGTGAAGTTAGTGTTCACAGATTGTTTTTATTTTTATAATCAAAGACATTCTTCTGATAATTTATCATTTTAGTAGAAAAAAAAGAAGAAGAAGAAGTGCTTTACCAGAACCAGCTCCTTGTGCTGCTGGAACAGACTTTTGGAAACCTTTGAATGATTTATACTCTGTTATGCTTTTCTGTCCTGGTGTCTGTCTGTCTGCTTCAGTGCAGGATTAAAACCCTGAACCATGAACTAAACACCTTTCCAAAGCTTTACTTCCATACTCTAAAACCACTGAGGGGGGGTGGGAGGGATCATGGTTGGGATTGGCTGAGGCGATAAACCATATTCTCACACACGCGTGGAGAGAGATCACTGAGATGATAGTTTTAGGATGCAGCGGTCGCACAGGTGGAGGATTTCAACGTCTCAACTGACCTTGAAAAATATTCCTACCAACTGATGTTTCGGCCGACTATCATCTACTATAGGCTAAACTGCGTATTTTAGGCACAATAATAACAGTCTGTAGCCCAGGGACCCTAATCCCTTTACATCCACCTCTCCACACAGGTCATCTTCTGGTCGGCTGAGAGGAGAAAAAAATATTTTTCTCAATGTCTTCATCCTCTTGTTGTGTTCAATGCCCATCCAGGTAGGATGTCCCATTAATGTTGTGGATTTATACTTAATTCTATTCCCAGCCAGCTGGGAATTTATCTTTCTGATACTTTAAGATGTTTATTGCCCTCCCCTGTAGGGGGGTAAAATATCTTATTTAATCAGATATTATTTCAGCTGTTATATACTGTTTATGACACACAGTCCTACTAACTGTGTGTTAGAACAATAGATGAAAGAGTGATTCGAGCACTAATCATGGTCAAACAGTTATTTCTGAACATACATGGAATAAATTCACCACAACTTCTGTTAAAAATATAAGAGTTTATTAACAAAAATCATTCAGCTCCAAGTCAACATATTTCAGTTTAACACTCTCAACTAAGACTAGTAAAACTCAACTAGACTAAACTAACTACTATGTACAAAGAGGAAGGGGAAAACGGCTGAAAAACATATTACAGTTTAAGATGGATTCTGGAAGAATTTGGTATGTGATCAAATTGGCTTTTCACTAATTTTAGAGAAATTGGAATGTTTTCAGACCAATTCACAATGCAGATCCATGAGGTGAATAAAACATTATTTGGCCAAATAATGTTTTAAAACTAAAAATTATTTTTTTAATCATGATCCAATGACCTTTAGCTAAGGGATTCTTTACCTTCCTTGAAATAGCTAGCAGCGAATAGACATCAGGATTCCACTAAATGACTCTTGGTCATACTTGGTAATGGAAATATAATGAGCATTTGAGGAACATATGAACACTAATGTTATATCAGTGTTTAAACCCTTAGTGAAATAAAGCTTGTCCAAGCTTCAGCAACAGCTCAAAACATATTACTGTAGCGTAGCATGCAGTCCATTCTGTTAGTGTCTTTACTCATCAGTAAACACATGTTTGTCCCTAATCATGTCAGACCTGCAAATATTTTTTGTCCATTGAGTTTTATCCAGCTGCAGCTCTGTTATCAGGCCAGGCTCTCTTTGTCTCAGTGGCTCATTAAGGCCGTCCCTCTCTACAGTCTGGCTCTATAAGTTCTGAAACTAGAGAGAAATGTGTTGCAAAAGGTCTGTTTTTCAGTAGTTTGGTTCTGAAAGGTTACCACAATGACCCATCCTTGATGATTCTGGAGATCTGGGTCCCCCCTAGACCTTGGTTCTCCACCAGAATGGAGATCCAAGCCAAAGCGGACCCCAGCCTCATGGGCGAGGGAGAGAAGGCAAAGAGAAATAATTCTGTGTGTTCTGTGATTATTCTGTCCTCACACAGAGGGGGGTGGTTAGTCAAACCTCTGTCAGCTGCCATGTGACTTGCCTGTGGAGGCCTTGGCTGAAAAGAGGAGGGGGGGCTCAGAGGTCCCCCCAGCTATTATTCACCAAAGCTGCGTCCTCTTCTCTGGCCATCATGTCAAGATGAAATATGGACACTGCTTCCCAATGTCCAAAAACCATGATCATGGCATATGGCACAACACTCTAAAGACCCTTGCTGTTGCCTTTGCTAAGAATATTTAAAGTAGTAGAGTCTTTAAGGTTTCGTATTTTCTTCTCCATGGGTTTAGACTGGGATTTATTCATTTTATTTCCGCTGATTGTCCTTAAACTGCAGCCGGCTGTATCACTCTGTTTGGAGGCTTTTTTTTTTTCTCTGCATGTTAACAGTGATGCTGACCAGAAGTTCAGAACCGGAACCAACCTGATTAAGGCCCAGATGTCATTCTGCTCAGCAGAGTTCTGGTAACGAGCCACTCATATTGGACTGAGATGTGTTGGAGGAGGGAGGCTTCTTAAGGTTGCAGCACCGTAGCTCTCTGGGATCGGACTTGGACATCCCCGCTTTGAACTATCTGCATTCAAATCTGAAGCACTTGTTTAAATTTTCCCTCTGCTCACCATCCTCTTCCCTGCTGGTTAATCTGGTCCAATCAGGCCTGTCCTTCTGATTGCAAACTCAGTTTGCTCTCTTTAAAAGTAAAGTAGTAACCAGACACTGTACATGTTCCAGCCAATAAAATCGCAGGGTGTGGGTTTGACGTCATTGCTTTTTCTCTGGATTTAGACTTGGACAACTATTATTGTCATTTTGTACACACAGTGTATAAAAAATGACATTTGGTTTTGTAGAGCTTTCATGACATTTCCATTTCTTAAAGTGCAGCATTGATCATGTAAACAGTGTGGGAGAAAAACATGGTGCAAAAAAACGCATTGATATGGAAGTTCAGAGCATTAATATATATGGTGCAAATGTGAAGTATTTTTGGTTTGGTGTTATTTGTGCGATGCACACTCAGTGATATGATTTAGAGGTTTTTTTCAACAGTTCAGCTGTCTGATAGCGGTGGAGAAGAAAATGTTGGAGAATCTGGCGGACCTGGATCGAATGCTGCAAAGTCTCTTCCCAGAGGGCAGTAGGGAGAACAGTCCATGGGGGGCGGGCTACAAATACAACAAGTACTACAAACAAAAACGTAGGCTTTCAAAAGCAAAAGAGAGATTAGCGGAAAAGAAATAGACCAACACACTAAAGAGAAATACAATCAGAAAAAATGGAGACAATAGGTTCCTCGATGCAATGTAAACACAAAGCTTGCAAAGACCTAAATGATGAAAACACAGTAAGAGCGTACAAAGGATCAAGGCTGCAAATAGCAAAAAATAGATCAAGATGAAAAAAAATCTGTGAACTATCTTAGCATAAGTAGTGCACCAGACCACAAGGGGAGATGATCGTCAAGTCATATTGGACCAGAGCCTTAGTAAGGACATAAACTGGAGGCTCAGAGAGTCAAACCTGTAGCCTGACCCAATGAATACTGAAGGAACCGAAGCTAAGAGCTGAAATGTTCAGTGTCTCAATGGTCAGGTCTTATATCAGTTATTGATCATCTCACTCTAGTGGTCTAATGTTGTGTATTAATCTGCACTAATCATAAGATAAAATAAAGTTAATGTTTTATAAGTTTAAAGTTGTTTTCCCAAATACTGTTATAAGAGCAATTCAAGGCCAGAGAGGAGAAAAGCAGAGCAGTGAGTATGTGTAACTATTGCACCTGGCCCCAATAGGAGTGAAGTCTGCAGGACAACGCAGGGTTGAGGCCCCTTAGTGATAAGAAAGCACACTCAATAAAAATGAAATATTTGACATCTCAAGGTTGCCCAGCTCAGCAAAATTTGGCCATACAAAAAGAGTTGTTATTTTCAAGGCACACGGAGCGGTAATGGTCCCAGAAAGGGTGATGCTTTGACTAAGATACGAAGGGGGAGCAGTAGGCCAGACTGACATGGCTTGAAGCAAGGGAAAGATGTGTTCTGACATGTTTGTGACTAAACCGTCATAAGTTTCTGATTTGAATGCACCAGATGTTTTCATGGCCTGAGAGATTGCTCTCACAAGAATGAGATGTGTCTATGAATGTCACCGTGTTTTGCAGATAAATATCAATGTGACCTTTACCAAAGACTGAAATATGTTCTGAAGGGGGTTTTCCACCGATAAGAAATGTATAAAAGGGAGCTGTGTTCACCATTTGTTCAGCTTCGGCTCACCGGTGACCAGCTCAGTGTGAATGTGTTGTGTTTAGCAATAAACACACTGGACCCTGACTCAGCTGCCTCTGCCTAAATTTTTTGATCTTTGTTTGAGACTTTTTCTGCTTTTTAAGAACTTTGAATTTTTATAAAACTTAGCTTCAATTTTAAGTCGTCAAGAAGAGAATTATAGACGACATAATTGGCGAGCCAGCTGCAGGAGGAAAGCAAAAAGGGGACGTCGGACGATCTGCAGGCACCAGCTGGAGAGCGTGGAACCCCAAGGGCCCATAATTCACCATTAAAGGTGAGTCAATTCGTTTTAATTTTCTAAATTAGTGGGGAACCGGCCTCCGGCTACTGCTTGTGAGTGTCAGGCGTCACAAAGCTCTCCTAAAAAGAACCTAGTTTTCCAAATTTAATAAAGTAATTTCCAAATTTGATAAGAATTTATATAAGAGTATATAAAGGCAGATTAAGCTGAGGAAGGGTCCAGGTATGTATGAATGTATGTATGAATGTATGTTTTAAGTGTTATTAATGTTTGTGTTAAACTGTTCTGTGTTTAAATTATTTTGTAAATAAGTTAAGCTTAACACGGGTTGTTCTGAGCGGATGATTGGTAAAGGGACAGATTGATACATAGTCTGTGGAAGCCATAAATCCGGAACCAATAGTGTACGCGTGTTACGTGAGGGTATCAGTGACTAAGGTAGTCAGGGTGCTCCACGAGACGGCTTAAGTAGTATTAAGGTATTGGAATATGTGCCACTGTAGGAAACAGTGAGGAAAAGGTATTGAGAGGCTAAGCGATAGCCAGGCTAAGGGATAGCCAGAATATTACCGGTTACGCGATAATCGGAGAATAGTACCGCTCGACCATCCGGAGGACGTCTATGCATTTCCAGTTATCTGGGTGCAGCCGGGGCAGCAGGGAAAAACGTATATGCCACTGTAGGAAACAGTGAGGAAGAGTATATGCCACTGTAGGAAACAGTGAGGAAGGAAGAAGTGCACTGTAAATATATATAATCATTTGTCTTGTGTGTCTGTGTTAGTGTGTAGAGTGAAAGAGTTGAGTAACTGAGGGGAAGTA